AAGAAGAAGAAGAGGAAGAAGAAAATGCACAGACAGAATGCCCTTATGTAAGTGAATACACATTTCAGGAAACATTGCTTCCTAAGGATGATACGCCAAATTTCTTATTCTGTCCTACTTCATTTTTTAAACACATACTAATTTGTGATGTCATTGCCACTAAATGACTATGACCTGTTCGACGCTGAGATTTATCTAGATCGTTCCTGAATCTCTGCCACAATGAGCTTCTTTTTACTCACTCGTTTCTGTGACTATTTCTGAGAGCCCCTCTCCTCCAATTGTGTAATTCCTGTGTACTTAAACTTCTGATACAATATAGGCAGCTATCCTGGAAAGTTAAATTCCAATCCTGGATCTGCCGTCATCGCGTCGTACAAACTTTGGGCAAACCCCTACATCTCTTTGGACCTCAGTTTCCCCGTCATATCTACATTCTCGGAGTCCGCAACATCGAAAGCAGACGCCCCACCCCCTGACTCAGCGGCGACAGGCCGGACTTCTCACTAAGCCCTTCTCCCCCTTTTCCGCTCCTCCTCAAGCCTCGGAAGCAAGCAGCGGGAGGAGAAACAGGCAGGTCCAGGCAGGAGGGCCCGCGGCTGGGAGGGGCCGAGGCGAGCCGGCCCCCTAGTAGGAAATGAGACAGATCGCAGTAACACTTTAAAAGCCTGACTCCCTCTCCCTCCACACATTCCCTGGTCTCGTTCCATCCTCCACTCTGCTCCGGCCCATCCCGGACAGCCTCCCTTCTCTTTCCTAACCAGCAGCCTGAGGAGCCCAGGTGGGACCCAGAACTTCAGCTCCAGGATGTTGACGAAGTTTCTACCACTGCTGCTGCTGCTCCCTGGCCGTGCCTTTTGTAACTCCGATGGTGAGTTAGAGTCACAGCTCCTACCTAGGGGTTTTCTGGGGACTTGGTGTATTTGGGAACTTTGACACGATTATGGGACAGCTAAGCTCACACAGCATGGATGTCTGCTGCTACTGGGTCCTGGGCTTTGGCTCGTGTTTCAAAGACAGGGTGAGGAAGTCCGGTTAACTCTCCGGAGAAAGCTTGGGGGAGGTTGGTGGAAGGGACCTGTGGAAAGGAGGCGAAAAGGCAGGGAAAGAGAGCACTGTCAGTCTAGGTAAGATAGGAAGAGATATGAGGTGGACAGAATGGGGAGACGCTAGGAAAGCTGAGACAAGTTTGGGGGTTGAGATGGAGAGGAGAAAAACAGGGGTTGTAGCTGGTGAGGTGGGAGATGGGGGCAGAAGAGCCAGGGCTAGAAGATCAGACTGCTGGAAGCTCTTAAACAGAAAAAGGGAATTACCACCAGACACTGTCGATGCTCAGCTTCCCCCCCACACACACACACTCTTCCTATAGCCTCTGCCTCTCTCTCTCTCAGAGGGGCAGTATTTAGAGTGTCTACTGTATTTTATCTACACATTGATTTGTTTATCTGCTGTGGTGAGCAATATTATCATACTGATCTTACAGAGGAAAACTTTGGTCACAGAACCATTAAGGGTGGTTGCTAAGGTTACTCACACCAGCATATCCACACTTGCAAACACAGAAAGCAACTTCTCAAACGCAAGAGGGTGAGTGTGTGTGTGTGTGTGTGTGTGTGTGTTGGTGGGGGTGAGGAGGGAGGGGCTAGTTGTTAACGCCAGCACTGCCTAGGCCCTTTCCTGGGTATTGAAGGCAGATAACCAAACCCAGTTTTGATAGAGATTTGCCAGGCAGAGCAAAAGCAGCAGAACAACCTGGACAGGCTCTTCACATGGGTGGCCAAAAATCACCATGAGGAACTCCAAGCCATTTGATAAAACTGAACACGAAAGATTCGCCAGAATGTGCAGCTGGGGCTAGGTCACTTGCTGTGGATCTCAGACTGAGGCCAGACTCTGAAATCTGTCCTGTGGACAGATGTCCTCTGGGAAGGCAATGACTTCAGATTGGCAGGTTGGCTTCTTGGTTTACTTTACCATCTTGGCCTCAGATTCCCATACACAAGGGGGTTAATAATAGTAGCTACCATGTTAAAGCATTAGGAGGAAGGCATGCATAAGTTAATAATGTGTATAAAACAGTGCCTAAGGCGTAACAAGCACTTCATGGGCATTAGCTATTATTATTTGGGAGGGGTAGGGCACATCCCAGGAGGGCTTTAAGGGTTTTTGGATCAGATGGAGGTCCACTAAGAAAGGATGAAACTAAGCCCAGTGTGGTGGTGTACAATTTTAATTTCAGCATCAATAAGCACATCCCTGAGTTGGAGGCCATCCTAGTCTACAAAATCAGCCCCAGGATAGCTGGGGCTACACCAAGAAGTCCTGTCTGGAAAAACAAAGCAAAAGGACGAAATTGAGAAATGTTGTCCCCCATGGGATGACAGTGGCCCAGGGACTGGAGTTGGGATCTTATCAGAGGCCAGAGTTTGACAGGCTGGCCCTGTGAAGGAGGGGAAAGCATTGAGGGATGCCTTTTCCGATTGCAGACCTCAGTTTCCTCATCTCTAAAGCAAAGATAATAACCCCCATCCTCTCCTGGAGGGGTTATTGTGAGCATCAAATGGAGGGGCAGGTGGGCGAGCGTTTTATGGGATTGCGACTTTATGGGATTGTGAAAGTGGGTGGCAGGCCTCTGGGTAAGGGGTTATTATCTCTGGCTGTCTACCCCTTCCCTCGCTGGAGGTCCTGACGCGCTGACTCTGCCCTCAGGCTCCCAAAGCCTGCACATGCTCCAGATCTCCTACTTCCGAGACCCCTATCATGTGAGACATCAGGGCAACGCCTCTTTGGGAAAATTCCTGACACACACGCTGGAAGGCCCGAGCAAAAACATCACCATTCTTCAGCTGCAGCCCTGGCAGGATCCGGAGAGCTGGTCTCGCACAGAGAATGGCCTGCAGCTCTACCTGTCCCAGTTCGAAAGTCTGGTCCAGTTGGTGTATCGAGAGCGCAAGGACAGCGTGTTCTGTGAGTTGGGGCACCTGGTCGGGGCTGGTGAGATCCAGGGAGGATGAGAGGGCCTGAAGAGGCTTGTGACCCAGTTTAGGCACTAAGGCTAAGGTTTTAGACAGCAGTATTTTCATGAGGGGCTGGGGTAGGTATGGTCTTTGGGGCTCTGACCCTTGGAGATTGTTCTGTGTGGGAAAAAAGCGATTTCCTAACTGTAAGAAACCTCTACCTGGTAGATGATAGATAGATAGATAGATAGATAGATAGATAGATAGATAGATAGATAGGATACTTCTTGGGGCTGGTGTGAACTCTTGGAGCAGACCTGCTTGGGGACTGTGTCCCTCATTTTCTCTGACCCCCACTGAATCTTCACTGAAGATTTTGCCAACTCCTCTCCCTCACAGGGCCTTATCCTTCCCTTCATAGAGCCTGAAGCACTTTGCCCTCGGCCTTCGACCAGCTCTTTTCCTAGATGTTGATGGGTCTATCCATAGCTCCCTCACAACCCCAGTTCCTCTCAACAACCTGATCTCTTGTCCAGGAAACGACCACTGCCTTTCTGAAGCCTCTTCTGCTCCTTTCTTCCACAGTCCCAGGTGTTTGTCATGGCTCCTCTTTACAGAGGTTCCAACAATCTAACCCAGACCCTCTTCTCTGTCCTCAGGCATCCCTTCCTTCTCCCCTCAACGTTCCCTTTGCCCCTGGTGAACATCCCCCAACACCTGGCCCCTTCTCAAGCAAGCACAGAGCTGACCCTTCCCCTCTCCACAGTTCCTCTCACAGTTAGCTGCTCCCTGGGCTGCGAGCTGCCGCAGGAGGAGGGCTCTGAACCACATCTCTTCTTCGATGTGACTGTGAATGGAAGCGCCTTTGTAAGTTTCCAGCCAAAGACTGCCATATGGGTGACAGGCTCCCAGGAGCCCTCCAAAGTGGTCAACTTCACCCTGAAGCAGCTCAATGCCTACAACCGGACTCGGTTCGAGCTGCAGGAATTTCTGCAGGACACCTGTGTGCAGTACCTGGAGAAACATATCACCACGGAAAACACGAAAGGTGTGGGGGATTCTAGCCCTACCTGTGTGTGTGTGTGTCTCGGGGGGAGTGACTTCCAAGCAAATGAAGGGACATGAGGGATCCCTTGAGCAACAAAAGGAGGGGGCTGGAGACTCAGGGGAGGGTCACTGGGTGACTTCCTTTGAAAGTATAGATACCAAACTTTAGACTCCTTGGGAGTATGCTCTTAAACTCACTCTCTGCCTGTTCTGCAGGGAGCCAAACGGGCCGCTCGTACACCTCACTGGTCCTGGGTATCCTGATGGGCTGCTTCATAATTGCTGGAGTGGCCGTGGGCATTTTCCTGTGCACAGGTGGACGGCGTTGCTAATTATTCTCCAGGCCCCTCGGAGAAAGGGTTGAACTGGTGGGGGCTGGTAAGGGAAGATTGCAGCTCATATGAAGCCAAACAGACTCCCCCAGCGGGGCCACCGTATCTCAAGAGGTTTTGAGCAACAGCTCAAAACAGCATCTGCCTAAGTGTGAGAGGAAGGGATGTGAGGAGGGTGAGAAGGGATGAGGGAGGGTGGGACAAAGTAACTGGTTTGTAAAGAACTTGAGACCATGCATGCTTTGTGTAGCTGCTCTGAGAAGTGGGTGCTTATTGTGGAAATCAGATGATAGACTTGGGGGGGGAGGCTGGGCCATCGGTGACCTCCCAGAAAAGGCAGATTTACTGAAGGCGTTCAAAACATCTAACTAAATAAAAAGAGTTGTCTGTAACCAAAATAAAACATATTTAATGTGTCCAGGTATGTCCAACTTGGGAAGGGACACTGGTATGATAGGGCAGAAAGAACCACAAAAATGTCACAGTTGTAAGATTAAACAATATGGGAGTAGTGAATTAATAATTAAATATTAAATTTCTTATTTATGTAAAAGGTATACTTATGTCTTCTATTTTATTAAAACTTCTGAAAAAAATATAGCCATATCCTTTGTTCTGTTTCCTCATCTGTTAATCACTTGGCAACCAGCAGCAGGGGTCTCTCTATGACATATTCACAGATCACCAGTAAGCTGGCACTGCTAGCTGTAACGTGTGCTTCGTTTGACCTTGTGAGCTGGAAACTCTCTTTACACTTCCTTCTGAAACACTGTGATTCATACAAACTGCTCTGGAACATTCCCGACCCTTTTCTCCACTCACCTTGGAGATGCTGCCTTCCTTAAGTGCCTCCTCCCCATCCCCGGCCCCTTTATGGCCATGCTCTGACATGCAGGGCTTTAAATATCTATTTCTGGTGTTTTCTGTGTGGAAAACAATACAATTTAATATTTAAGAGCATGTATTCAGGGCTGGAGAGATGACCTGGCAGTTAAGAAAGCTTGCTGTTCTTAAAAAAGACCAGAGATGGGTTTCGAGCACCTACCACTCAGAGGCTTACAACTGCCTGTAACTTCAGTGCCCAGGGATCTGGCGCCCTCTTCTGGCCTCCTGGGGCACTGGCAACACACACAGAAACACACACACTAAATGTTTTTTAATTTTTAAGAACTTTTTTGTGGGGAGAGGAGCATTCCAGGCAGAGTTTCTCTGTGTAGCCCTAGCTGTCCTAGAACTTGCTCTGTAGACCAGGCTGGCCTCGAACTCAGAAATCCACCTGCCTCTGCCTCTTGAGTGCTAAGACTAAAGGCATGTACCACCACTCTAAGTTTAAGAACATTTTAAAAATCAGACTTCAGTTTTAAATCTTGCAGCCAGGTATTTAATGTCTCCAGATTTTTACTTCCTTCATTCACAAAAGGAATAATAAGATATACAAAAAGGGTGAACAAAGATACCTACCTGGAGCTGACCCTATGGGGATTAGGTAAGCCAATACTAGCAGGATAGTAAATGTATGGTTCAGGAATATAGCTGAGGCTATTGTCCCAAACCCCACATCAGCACTGATTTTTCCCAGGGAGCCAACTCCAAGGCTTTCACAAAGGCTAGGCAGGCTCCTGGCACTGAACAGCATTCTCCACCCAGCACTGGCTCCTTTTATGTTTTGTTTTAGACAGAGTCTTACTACGTAGGCCAGGCTGGCCTTGAACCTTTGATCCTTCTTCCTCAGCACCCCCAAGCTGTGGATTACAAGAATGCCTACTGTACCCAGTTCCTCTTGAACATCTTAATATCTTGAGGTTATTCAGAATCAATATATGAGAAATTATCTTTTTTCTTCTTGTTCTGTGATTTAGTAACTGTTCATAGGTAAAAGGAATACATCCACATAGTATCAGTGGAGCGACCTCAGTGGTAAGCTGTAGTTACTTCCTTTCCTTTATTCCCATTTATAAAATACAAAAGCTATAATATCCGTTCTCTCCTTCCTGCCCTTCCTCTTCCTCTGTGGGAAGCACAGAGGTGTACCACTTAGTTCAACCTCCAGAGGGGCTTGCCATTCAGGGAGTCCAGCAGGGGGGCCCAAGTTACTTACTTCAGTTCCCAAGTGACCACCTTAGCTGCAGAGAACAATCAGCACAGGGGTGTGCCTGTCCTGTGACTGCCCTCTCCTGTGACTGGGCAAGGCAGAGGCATAAACATTCAGCTGTGCCCAATTACTTCAGAACTCCCTGCCAGGCTGTCTAGGCCCATGTGGGATCTACAACGCAATTTGACTTTTTTCTTAACTTCATCCCGCCTTCCTCCTCCAGTAAACATCCTGCATCTCCAAACACTTTCTCAGCATCTGCTTCCAGAAAACTCAAAACTCAACACGCATGTACACGTGCCCCTCCCCCCATGTGTGTGCCTGCTCCTCCACCCCCACTCTTCCCAAATTGAGAAATGACCACAGTCACTTTTAATCAGGTCATGGCAAAAACTTCCTCCTAGAGTCTCCCTTGTCTATATTTTTTTCTCTGTTCTAATTGATCTTACGCACAGCTGTAAAAGGAAAAGCAAAGACCTGAAAAGTCCGTGTCATTTCTTCGGTGGCTCACAACCATCTGTGATGGGATCCAACGTCCTCTTCTGGTGTGTCTGAAGAGAGCAACAGTGTACTTACATAGATAAAATAAAATAAATAGATCTTTTTCTTAAAGACTTAAAAGAAATCATTAAAAAGAAGAATAACTGGGCCTGGAGAGATGGTGAGTCACAACCATCTGTAATGGGATCCGATGCCCTCT